AGGACATCAGCTAACACGGTGATGTCATGAGAGGTGCACAGACTCCTCGGCCTGACAGTGGCGGGGAAACAGGGTTAGAGGTGCTTCTCTCTGGCAGGCGAGCCCTTCCAAGCAGCCAGAGCTCTGCCCTCCCAGCCAAAGACCTTTGTCACTGTCCTGGCCCTGGGCACTTCGAACCTAGCAGCACTGCCTCTGTCACAGAAGGTTAGCACATCTCTGGACTGGTTAGGGGAGACAGGAGGAGGCTTGACCCAGCTTCGGCCACTCGGAAGGCTGGGCATAGCCAGAGCTGCCCACGCTGACTGCAGGCCGCCCTGTGAGGCAGGTGTGCAGCGGTCCCGGGCAGGTTTCTCTTTTGGTGCTGGGCGAGGTCACGGTGAAGCCAGGCAGGGAGCCACCTGCTGTGTGCCACTCCTCTCTGAGCCCACAGAGCTGTGACACTGAGTGGAGACACCAGGTCACAGATGGTCAGAATGGGTAAGAGGCTGAGCCACAAGGGTGTAGCAGAAAGGAGGCCTCCACTCACGTGGCATCTCAGCAGTGAAGAAAGCCTGTGTCCTCCTGGGAGCCTGGACAGACAGAAGCATGAGTCATTGGCAGACATTCGGGGAAAGCTGTGCACGAGGCCTCAGGAGCTGCCCCGGCCGGTGTGCTGGCTCCCTGACAGACACACTCCCAGCTAGGAGGGTGCAGTCCCCTGTTTCGGTGTTGGTGTGAATGCTTCAGAGGCTAGCAATCTGTGCAGGGTTGCCTGAGCTAGCAACTCAGCGCAGGCTTTCATCTTGGCCCTGTGGCCAGACTCGGCTTGGGTTGCATGTTCCTGCATTTTCTATTTAGTTTTTTCCTCGTGTGTCTCTCAGGCTAAGCCTGGCGTAAATAACTATGAAAATGAACACTGTTACGCATTTTCAACACAAACCCACCCTGACATCTGGTGACCTGACTCAGAACCACGCGCCTGGCCACTGGCTGCAGTCCTAGCGCCTTGGCATGCTCTGCTCCCACGTGACCCCTGAGCAGCCTGCAGAGTCAGGTAGGTCTCTGGCGTGTGGCTGACACGTCCTATGATGCCCCCGCTAGCACCCTCCTAAAGGCGGCGGCGCCACTGCTCCCAGGGGCAGCCCACACCATTACCAAGCTGAGGGCAGCAAGGAAACTGAGCAGGTGAGGCTGACGGGGAACAGCTGGAGGCTGAGGCAGGCATGCTCTTGGGAGAGGCAGCAGGCTTGGCTGGGACAGGGACAGAGGTTGGGCAGACTCAGGGTGCGGCTGGGCACTGCAGCAGGTGAGAGCTGTTGAATCCCAAAGGTCGTGGCCTAAGTTTTCTTTACAGGACTCCAGAACAAAGCAGTGTTCACTTGTGTGATACATGGTGGTGGAGGAGGTCTTGTGTGCTGCCTGCTCGCAACTCTGCGCCTTCAGGAGACCCTAAATGGCCAGGGGTTCCTCACTGAGTCATAATTTTGTGGGAAAAAATAGAGAGAGGATATACTTTGCTATGCAAAGTAAGTAAGTCTAATCGATCGATTACCAAGATGTAATTAAAAGCAGTAGATTCCGAAGTCCTCCAGGAGCTTGCCTCTAATCTATGGGTTGGGGAGAAAGACCATTACATTTTCCTTTCTGGATTGGAAGGATCTCGCTGTGACAGGGAGGACGACCTTGGTGAGGAGCTGTCCGAGCTCTGGCCCCACGGTGAGCTGAGATAGGGCTGAAGGGGCGTCCCGTGGGGTGTGGGGAGGAACCCCCTCCGCCTCCTCCTTGGGAGCTCC